ACATTGAACATTGAACGATGCTACGAAAAATTAGATTTCTAACAATGCATTCATACAAGAAGTCTTTTCGATCTTTACAGAGTGCACTGGTTATAGTTAACAAGAAAAAGAGAGTCAATTTATTAGTAAAATGGAAAAAAGAACAAAAACAAATTATTAAATAAAAGTAGCAACAAAATACTGTTTGATTCTTATGGAATTTTTACAAGACTCATTGCTCATGATTAACAAAGTAAAATAAAGCGAATGTAATTATGAAACACGCGAAGAATAAACATGAGTTATAGAATAGAAAAGATATGTATGGAAAAGGCTGAATGAAAAATGTCAAAAAAATATCGAAGAAAGAAATGCCAACCATATGAAACTGTCGAAGAATAAGATTTTTATTCAGACCATACCAGAAGTAGTGGCAGATGTATTTTAATTCCTTATAAAAAGCTTAAAGAGACTGTCTTTCGATATGAAATGATAATAAAAACCATTTTATATTTTTCTGTGCTATAACATCATTGTTCAACCGATATCATAATAATAAAATTTCGAGGATAAGAGTTATTTATTATGATATGTGACGATAATATCATTTCATATCTACCTTCGATATGTATCCTCTACTTGATCTTCTCTTGATTCTTTTTCCCTCGTTTCCTTTAGTGCCTAGTCGTCTATATGTATATTAGGGTGTACAAAAAGTAGTGCGGATAGAATAAAAAGAAATACAAAAACAAGTTTATCAAGTTTTTATTTCATCAAACGACTGAAATAATCCCTGTGGTAGTCAGCACACACTTCCACTTTTTAAATACATTTATCATTGAACGTTTTTGTTTTTTCTATAATCTTTTTTATTAAAAGAATTCATAAAAATCGTTACAGAACGATGCAATGATTAGAAATCTTTTGGATCGCTTAGATTTTGTTTCACTAGCGAGGAAATCTATGCAACTAATAACTTCTGTTTGAGCTTATATTTTGCCCATAGGTAGAACTCATGCTGTAGATGAAAGTCCTAGAAAGGTTCATGCCATTAGACCTTTCTTCTCGAGTTATAGTCATTGTACGGAATTTTCAACCTATCTCGGAGTATTATGAATAACAACCTCAACAAGAAATATTCATCTGAAAATTGTTCCATTAATAGAACTAATAGTTCTTATTGCTTCCTAAAAGTTTCAGCTCAAACGAATGAGTTTTTCTTACACTATTGGATATCTCAAAAATGAACTATTTTCGGAGCTTTTGTGAGAAAGTACTAGTTTGTCCAAGTAGATTATCTTGAAACAGAACCATTGGTTTGAGCTGAAACTTTCAGGATATAATAAGGACCGTGAGTTCTTTTCATCGGAAAATTTTCAGATGGAAATTCCTTGTTGAGGCTACTTTTATAATACCCTGGGATAGGCTGAAAATTTTGTAAAATGATCATAACTCGAGAAGAAAGGTCCTATGGCACGAACCCTTATAGAGTTTTTATCTAAAGTGTGAATTCTACTTATAGACAAAATATGAGCTCAAACGGAAGTTACCAGTTGGATAGATTCCTTCGTAAGTTGAATAACTAAAAATCACATTGTGCTAGATCCAGAGGATAAAGTGGATATAGTTACTAGCCTCATATCTTTCTATTCAAAATAGTTGAGCGTATCTTTACGAGTATATGATCTCTCATTAGAAACGGGTAGATATCACAGAGGGAACAAAGAAAGAAAAAGAAAACTATAGACGAAGAATCAAGAGAAAGTCAAGAAGTGGATACATACTAGAGACTAATATGATCAGACATTCTCATTGCAGGCCATAACATATAGCTGCTGTGGAAATTTTATGATTATGATATTAGTTGCAGAATGATATAATGGCGCAAAAAAATAGAACGTCATTTTTACTACCAGTTCATATAGATAGATTCTTTAAGCTTTTAATGAGAATGGAGTGTGGATATGAGCGAGGCTTGGGAAAGAGCAGATGTACACCTATACTCATACGTTCGAAATTGGAAAATCCTGTACAGCTTGATTTAAAATTTTTATAATTGTTGATGAGTAAAGCATGGTATGGCACTCCTGTAGATAGAAAATGAACTGTAGATGAGGGAGAGTCTATGATTGGCGACAGTTTAAGTTTTGAAGATTTTCTACTGTTTGGTATTTCGCAAACAAACTGAAAACGTTTTATTCCATGTTTCCGTTTTCAGATACTTTTGGACGATCAGTTAGTTAATAAGTACATATGAGATGAATAAATGACTTGAAGCCCAAAGAGCCTAGCCTTCTGTATATCATATAAGTTCACAACGCTTTTATAATCGTTATTATTGTTATTCTCTTCGATTTCGCTTAGTTGTTGATCACAAAAAGTGATTTGAAGGTCGCAAACTGTTGAACATACCGACCGAATATCATTGGAGAGTTTACCAGTGAACGAACGACACCATTGAAAAGTGGCAGGAAAACGAGCACGAAATGATTGATGAAATTGAGCACCATTGTTGAATATTATATAGAATGAATGTAAATCTTGTCGATTAAGCACATAATTATTAACGAACTGAATTACATCACCAGAAGCAATATGAGGTAATAAAAGAAGAAGTACCCACCGTTTATGATGTGTCCTGTCTAACTCACCAAGGCACTCTTGCAAGTCATTACTGATACTAGGTAGGCAATGAAAAGGACGAAGCTCTTGAGCAGGATTACTTATACGACGACCAGGATCAAATATCATTAAACAAGGTTCCTGATCAAATAAATGAGGAGAAATGACGTTGCTGATATTTATTCCCTATTGTTCAATTAAAAGGATGGTTTCTTTCAGAAATGCGCAAAGTTTGTTCGAAAACTCACCTCTGCCGTCATTGTATTATTGTTGTAAACGACGGCAAACACCGGACAACATTTCTACAAGGTCATCTACAATAAACAATAAAGAAGATCAAGCTTTTATTGTCTGTTTATTATTTAGTCAGTAGATAAAAATTGTATATGAATATATTCAAAAGCTTATAATAAAATTTGACATCGATTCCACCATATGTAACTGAAAGTACACTGAATTTCACATTCGAACAAAGTGTAGATTTTTTTCGCTTTCCTCTTAGATATGATATTATTAAACACTTATACTGTGTCTTCCGTGAGTTTCAAATTCTTCGTACTCTTTATTGTCTCACGGTAAGGTCAATTGTCTCGAAATGTTTTTATTTAAAAAATTTGGTTCTATATGAGAAATGCATCGAACTTCAAACAATTTGCACTTGAACTTCTATTTTGACTAATGAATATTGTGCAACATGATAACAATCAGAGACTGGCGGGACAATCAGAAACTGTTCCGTCTCGCCTAGAAATTTTCAATGTCGTCCCGCCAAGAGTTTTTCAGTGCCGTCCCGGCTAATCCGGCGAGCGTCATTTCACCAAAAGGTCGATCTCATACATATATGGTCATTTATTTCATAACAGAAAAGTATTGTCGAGCGAAAAATGTCTACATGAGGAAATGAAGTACAATGAATGTATACACACATATTCATAAGAAGTTGGGATCTAAGAATCGAAACCATTATATTCAAGATTAATAAATGTGACGAAACGAGACAGAATGAACAATTATACGCGTACATAATTATATATATGTCAGCATCCAAACTGAGATTACGTCCAATCTCAGCTTGACGCAATTCTGTTCACTAAAATATCAATTACTCTTTAGATAGACGTTGAATTCGAATTGTTTTTTGAAGTTATGTTCACATAATGCCAGTTTGTTTGGTAGAATTGTCATTTGATAGATTTTAGTAAAATTTTAGGAGTTATGAATAAATTTCTAGAGAACAACAACTTTGATGAAAAATTTTTATTAAATTTTTGAGTCTAAATTTAGCTTCTTCCTAAATGCTTGTAATACTTAAAACGGCATTGTGCAAACATAATTTCAAAAAATAGTTCGAATTCAACGTCTATCTAAAGAGTAATGGATTTTTTAGTGAATAGAATTTCGTCAATTCGAGATTGGACGGGTCCAATCTCAGATTTGACGTAATCTCAGCTGGGACGCGACATATGCATTGCATTTTCTATGTCAGACGAATTATATTATGGTCATTGTCTCATCCGTCAGTCATCGCTCATCTCATTTCGATCTAATTGACCGTCACTATTGTTCTTTTTCTGATTTAATTTCTGTTTACGTAAGAGTCGTCCGCTATGAAGATCATTCTTCTAGTCTTGCGACATAAAATCAATCGCTATTGTAATAGACTACATGGGTGGTTATTTTCACTTTTTGTTTCATTCACGGGAGTAAACGGGAGAAGCATTGAATCACGCCCATCCAGTGACTTTTTGTTCCGAGTTCCGTCCCTGGATGGGATTGGTCCCGTGTTCCGTCACTCTCTTATAACAGTCCCAAAGTTTTATTGCTACAAATGATTATTTACGTGCCATTCTGGTATTCTGTATGAGCGCCTTCTTATGAAACGGAAGGGATCTCAGTGAAAATTATGAGATTAAAGCACCTGCGTGCTGAGACAGTTTTAAGCAAGATATCTCAAAAAAAAATTTGCTCTACTACTTGAATACCAAATAAATTTGATCGAATATTCTGTTGACAAGTGTCTCAGTATACAAGAATCCGAGGCAAGTACTGGTATGCCTTCGAGTAACCTTTGCTTAAAATGTTGTCATAGATTAATTTGATGAAAGTCTGGGAACACTTCCAAGTCAAGCATTTAGATACTCATCACGTATCTGAATGTACTCAGTTACTAAAGAGTTCCTATGAGATTTTAGTTGCAGAATACCCGAAAGGATACAGAAGTACTCCGAACTGGCTATCACCCTTGCATAGAACAAAATGATTTTATATTCAATCCCATTACAAATGAAACAGAAATTGCACGATTAAATGTTTATTTGAAAGGTAATCATTATAAAAAAAATATTATTCAGGATTAAATTGGAAAATAGTCTTTACAATAAGAGTTCGTCTTACCTTATTTAAGGTTTTTGCGTAGTCTCATACTGCTTTACCTTTTCTCGTGTTTCATTCGCCAATAGTTCATAACACTTGGCTGATTTAGCAAATAATCGTTTAGCAGTAATACGATCATCTTGTTCGTTCAACGCCTGTTCAGCCTCTTGTCGGTAGAGCATGGCAAGATCATGGCGAATTTTACCTGTCAACTTTTCGACCGCTTTTTCCGTAGAATTCATTGAATCTTGTGCTTTCGGTAAGAAATTTATAGAATAAAGACGTATTCGTGGATTATCGTACATATACGAAGGAAACGTTTCAGAAATATAGAAAATTGAGTGAAATTCGTTGAGAACAGCATCTATCTCAGTTGCTGTAAGGTCAATAGTAATAAAACGACGATGATGCAGAGAAAATTTTGATGAGAGAGTATCTCGTTCATGTTTCATCAAATTCACCTCAATGTGAAAGAATAGTATAGGTTCCAGCGAGAGACATATCTCGTCAGCATCTACAGGAAAGTTCCATGTGATCAACGAATCCGTACCAATTGGCTTCTGGTAACGGCCTGATGCAAAAAGAAAAAAAATTAGCATTTCTCCACGTTCAAAAAGTTCTGTGTCGAAAAAACACTGAACAATGCCATCCAGTTAGCGATTTATGTTAACTACACCACTTCAAAACAAAACTTTGGTTAGAAAGGACTGAACCTTTCCCGAATATATATGAGTCTTACAAGTTAAAACTAGCTCTGTGTACCAATCTGACAGCGAATATAATTTCCAATCTTTTCCCTTTTTCTGATAGTTTTTACCACAAAAAAACAATAAGACAGTCAAGCAATATGAGAAGGTTTAAGTGTTCAACAGAACCTTGCAATTCGAAAACATTCTTATTGAAGTTGGACATATTGCTTTCAGAATATTTATTTGATAGCCAAAGTTTACTTAGAAGCTAAGTTTTGTGACAGTTTTTGTTCACATACTGACTTAGTCGAATTTTTTGCGATTGCTACTATTTTACCACCTTGATCAGCCGAGATTAGCACAAAATTAGAGTCTCTCTCTCTCTCTCTCGCTTACCAACCGAAATAAATCCTGCATCCGTTTCGTAACAGATTGGCGTACCATTTAAGTCACATTGAGAGTAATACCACTACTGAATGTTATACATCCTTCAAAACGATCAGAAAATATGACTTTTCATTATTCTAAACACCCACACCCAATAAAGTTTCATATTATACCACAAAAAGAGTAACATTGATCAACTTTTGACTTGGATTTTTCTGGATTTCAACCCCTATTTCTTCGTTATAAAAACGTTCTATATCGGTTGATCTATTTTAGTATGATAATTTCGCTTCACCTTCAGGTATTTGAACTATTGTTAAAGGATCCGTCTAAATCATAGGTGAGAGAACGTTATTTTCTCAAATCTCGCTCATAGAATTCATATAGTTATCATGGAAGAAGAAACACACTTGTCTGTAGCTGTTATTTCGGAGGACGCATTCGGTTCTTTCATGAAAACAATTCCTCAAGAAGTATCACTAGAAGAAAACCCACAAACCTTGTTGTTAATCAAATTAAACTTACCTATCTCAACGTGAACACGACTAGCAAAACGCTTGATTTTCTGTATTACATATTCTGTGAAAATGCTTTTGCGTGGATCATCTTGTCGTAGCAATGACAGATTGAGTATCGATCGAAATGATGAGACCAACGGCTCATATTTGTCTTTTTTGTTCAATATTTCCTCCTTTTGATCGTAATTAATTAGTTCTCTAATTATTTGTATGTAATCACGATTCTTGATCTGTTTCTGCAGTCGTTTTTCAAATGATGCCAAGAATGTTTCAACAGAATCATAAGCTTTTCGAGTGGATGTTGTCAATCGGGTAATCCATAAATTCAATGCATTATCATAATGAACGCTTTTTGTTTGGAATATAGTACCTATGTCGAAAAGAATTTCCTTCTCATCCGGAAACTTGCTCACATGTGACACATCTGCAAAGATAACAGGTGAATCGACGATATCAATAGTAATTTCGAACAGTACACGACATAGTGTATCCTTCATTGTATCGTATTTTTTGCTGGCATAAGCTAGAGCAATATCACGCGCTCGACTTGTTGAGAAAAACCCGTTTGTTGAAACTAATGACCCGTCAGAAATGTCACGAATTCGTTGCAAATCATTTACTGAGATGCATGCGCCACGATAAACCGTTATATTAGTCGTCAATTTCAAATTTTGGTAGGAATCTTTTAGTTGTTGCCGTAAATCTCGAATGAAGAAGGTCATAGCTCGTAATTTAATTTCGTCAAATGATCGCAAGGCTCGATTGATCATTTTATGAACGAATGAAGCACATGTATACCACATAATCGCATCTGATGGCATATAGGTTAACTCGAATTCTTTAATATTTTTTAATTCCAATGGATTTCGACTGTACTGGGCGCGACACAGTTGTAACATGTCTTGTTTGCTTTCATTAAATATTTCAAATTCTACATAGTTCGCTAAAATATGATTAGCAAGAAAAAGAGCTGTCGAACGAGATAGTTGTTTGGAATAATTCCCGTTGTTACACCATGTATAAAATTGAGTTTGATTTTTAAGATCAATCCAGGAACCAACACGTCGAATAAGTTCTTGTTCGGTATCAATACAAGCTAGTACTTTGGAATATGCATCACCCATTAGATGTCTGTACTTTTCAGATGAAGCACAAAAAATAAAAATAGAATCAATTACTGGTAATGAATGAATTGATTGAAGACATTGCATAGCACATGCACCCGATACAATGAAGAGGACCATCTCTCGACAAGTGTGGAGTCTATTAAGGCATAGATTAATGTCATTGAACAACTCAACATGATCATTAAGTTGAAGTAACAATAATATTGTGCGCTCATCATTCGAATCCAATTTAGTATCAAGCCAAATAATAGCTGCATCATAACGATGTGATACTTCCTTTTTCAAGTGTGCAAAGCGTTGCAGTGACGTTACTAGTAATCACAAAAGTTTTTTACAATACAGTGTATGAACTTTTATCGAGACATACGAATGTCAAATTTAATTAGTGAAGTACTTCAGTCTCTATCTACAAGAGTGTGGGTTGGTGTCTTGTCTTCATTTCCCAAACCCACATTCAGTCACACCGGAATGGAGAAAAGTTTTAGCTTGAACTTTTGAAATATTGCTCTACTAAATGAGTTGAAAAAAGGTCAAATTGTTTTTGCCGAACGACTTAATTCTCATTAAGTTATAGGAAGAAGAAAATTTAAAAAATCACTCTGCATCCAGCTTAAAAATCATTTTTTTTTAATTTTGTGTAAAATGTTTCTATTGACAAAATTTATGAAACAGTTCTTTTTTGCTTCTAAAACTATTTTTCCTTTATTTTTGTTTCATATTCAATGAAGTTAATTCAAATGAAGTTGCCTCAATTGGAATGCCATTGATTTTAATGTCGCTCTACACAACAATGGCAAGTGTCTTATTGTTTACCTAGATCGATAGATAAAGTTGTTCGAATTTTTGCCGTAACTTTGCATCACACGATACGTAAACGTACTGTATTTTCCTGTAATTTTGGGCAAAGTAATACGGCACCGTATGCGATGCCGTTATCTTCATCGTATACGGTCGTAAATGTGCGTTAATCTCATCAAAATACGATATGTATCGTTCAATCTGGGTATTATCCATAGTTTTTCGTTCATACAACTTTGTCTAAAACTGAAACTAAAGAGATATTCTGAAAGCTCTTGAAGACGTCAACAACTCTAACTGAAACAATAATTTTAAAGAAAAAGATATTGATTGACTTCCGACAGGTGGCATCAGAAGCTATGTACTTGATCTGTCGCTATTATTTCTCGGACACTAAAGCGGATGGAAATTTGATTTTTTCAGAAGTGAATGGCCGTCTCCAGATCAATAAAACAAAAAAGTTTATCAAAATCAGTTGAGTAGAACTCGATCTATAGACATCTTTCTTGCCAGGATACAACAGTGCAATCGCCTCGCTCTTTACTCAGCTCATACAATACCACAGAGGTCTCTATAAAGAATTTACTAATTCCATTTTCAAATGTAGAGATGTCATAATATTCATACGCTGAGTAACAACAAGCTATAAGTCACGATGTGCAGCACAGGAAGTAACTAACTTGGTATCCATATATGGACATTGAGTTGAATATCCATTTCGTTACACTGAATTCATTCAAAAACGTTAGTTTAGCGGCATATGTGTATGGCGAATTGATTAAGTGAATATCCTAATGGCTATGGTACGAATCTCGACATTTAAGTTACACATATTACTGTATCCCTCTTCAAATGATTACATCATCTTCGGATGATGCTCTTCGTCCCCTTGGAGTGATCACAGTTAGCGATTTATCAACTTTCTCCAGTCCTAAAGTTGCCAATGTGGTCTTCGAAGGGTTCCTAATTTAATTACACTATGGTTCTCATCTGCACATTAATTTTCACTTAGAATGGACAGATACAACGTGATTATATAGTTCAACTCTACGAAGGCTTCAAATGAAATTTCAAATAAAGAATCATGGAAAGACATGGTTGATTTTATATGTTCTATATGCTAAGAAAACTTTTTCATGTAAACTTACAGTTAGAAAACTGCGGCTTTTCGGTATTTGCTCGACCAAAATAGGATACATTCGACGGCATTTCGTATGATTCCCAATCATAATACATCATCTCGTCTGCATCACAATAGATCCTGCTGGACATAACAACAGTCTTCTCTGTATTGGCATCATCTATCATGCTGATTTCATTGTCATACTGGGAGAATTGGGCTACAATAAAATCACTCTCATTTGCTGTCGACATCGTAGTATTATAGCTGAAAAAAAAACAAGAAAATGGAAAAAACCTATTTGATAGAAATAATTTATGTTATCGTAGAAAGAGAAAGGAAGTAAAAAACGAATTTTTCCTTTTAAAGGAGTACCTATTACTCATTCTCTAAGTTGATAAAAGCCATCAAATAAAACGCCATCTATTCAAAATTTCTAACAAGAACCCTCATCTGATTTATTGAAATAATAAAAAGTAATAGAATACTAAAGCATTAAAATTTTCAATAGTATTGCAAACTTAAATCCTTCAAATTTTCGGTCATTTACACAAAAATAATCACTGTAACCTTAAAAATTTTCTTTCGTTATTGGCACATCATTTTGAAAATTTCAGTTCGATTCGTGTGTGAGTGTGAGTTTAAAGAAGATCTTCATTCACACATCCACATCTCAAATCAAATCATGATATCCTTTGACGAAGATTAGTCGATTGAATTCACTGAGGCAATAAACTATTCTATAAAGTCAAGAGCACTCTTTATCCAGAAAACTATTATCTTATTTTGAATCAGTCATTGTTTCCATTTCATTTACTATCATTTACAGATGTTCTTGATTTACCGATACTTTAAATTAATAGTTTCTGACTTCTTCCAATAAAAAGTAAAGTATAATGATAAATTATGTTTTCTACATGTGATCTATAATATAAATTGTTTTCCAAATAAGAATGTATGAAAAATTGTATTATAAAACTATTCTAACAAGACATCTTATATGGAAAGATATCGTTGCATACAAATGACAGAAAGTATTTCCATACTTTGTAATACTTTCATTTTTTCATAGTTCTCATAGATACTTATGTGAACCTCATTTTATGCTACTTATCATCATTAGTTCTATTCAAAACATCTATAATGGTTGTTTTCGTCTTACAGATAAGAACAAAAATAGTACTGATTTTTAATATTTATTATATAAAAAAACTCATGGCAATAGATGTAGTCAGTCATGATATTTCTTATTTCGAATATGGCTGAGGTTCAAAAAAACATACATAACGTATATTTCAATTAGCAATTATTTACTTTCTTAGAATTTCAAAAAGCATGTCATATTGAAATCTTAACTGTGCATTGTAATACAAAATCCAATTTTTCATCATATAATGCAAATAGTTTATTCAAACCTTAATAGAATAGACTATGATGTTGATTGTTGTTCGGATGTGCCACAAAATAATGATTTACGTATATTTAAGCAAAATAAAACCAGGTTTTTCTTATACATTTCAAAATAAAAAGGATTGAAAAGCATGAGAATAAAGAACTGATCTAAAATATCTACTATATTAAGTTATAAATCAAGCTTAATTTGAATTCTAGTTAAAATCTAGGACGTTGTAGAATTCCTAAGTGTTCTCAATTCAAATGTGAATAAATCTAGGAAGTGATAGAGCTCACAAGCGTTTCAATTGAAGTTTAACTTATTGTAGGAAGTGATAGAGTTCGCTAGCGTACTCAATGGAAGTATAACTAAATTTAGGAAGTAATAGAGTTCGCAAGTGTATTTAATTCAAGTTTAACTAATCCTAGCAACTGGTAGAGTCTGTGAGTGTTATCAATTGAAATCTAGTTTATTGTAGCAAGATCCAATACAAAAAAAAAAGATGCTTAAGCTTACATTGTTTGGGTAGTATGCTTTATCGATATTTATTTGTCGGCAAAGTGAATGTTGTCTTTATATGATATGTAAAGTACAAATATATTACGCTTTTAAGTTTTGTTGAGTTATTTTTCAACAAAAAAATGAAGAACTTGTTAACTTAGATATCTCCTCTGGTTAAATGATAGCTGTCTTCTTTGAAAACTTAATAGTCCAAAAAATCCAAAATGTTACTTAGCTTGTTCAGAAAAATAAATTTCGAAAAATCATTCTTCAATGTAGACGAAACCGACATGATTTGTATACCTTAATTACTGACATCTTATTGAATTTTTTTTTTGAATTTTTTTCGCATATAAAATGCCTACTCTTCTGCTATTTTATCCATCATATGTAGCTAATATTCTTCGTTAGCAATACAATAGTTTAGCTAACTCAAATAAAATTGTTCAAGTCTTAAGTTATAATGGATCAATGTTTGCTTGGACTAAGTACGGGTTCATGACGATTAGTAATGCTTAAATAATAATAGATCATATTTTGATAAATTATACTAATTATCATATATATATTATAGGGTTGTTGTAATGGAAAAAATGGCTGGGAAGATTGCATAGAACAACATAGGATTGATGATGTAGCAGTGACTGTACAAATTTATTATTACGCTACGTAGGATAGTCTTTGGTTAGAAAATGTTGGTTGACTACTTTTACGTTTCTGTTAGATTCTCTGAAACTATCCCTACAACTATAAATGTTTTTTATTTATCTTATTCAATAAATTTTAATGTAACTCAAAAACAATGCAGGCATGATTGGTTCTATTCACAGTATTGTATAACTTATGTTAAATGCATGATTTAAAGCTGAAGGTGAATTTAATCGATCTTAACAATCGTCTATATAAGGAGAATTTTATGTTCGAAATAAAGTTTTTTATTTTCATATTAAGTGATTATTTAATTGATTCATTAAAAATAATAAATATGTCGATATCCGTGCAAATATCATTGCAGGATGTGGATTCAATTAAGATTCCGTATTTTTGATAAAGATTTTTAATGTTTTGTATATTTCAAAAGGTTAGTAAAGGTTTTATTAATAACATACATTAATCAATTATTTCATTTGAATTTCTCAGTATTGTATCTGCCATGTAGTAGAATATAACTTGAAGCAAAGTGCT